TGTGGTTTGTTCATAATGATACAAATGCATGATTGAGTTGAAGATAGCTAACACTTTTTTTTAACAACTTTTATTTTCTTTTTCTTTATGTTTTGGCCTCTTGTATTTTAGGGCATTAATCAACTACGTGCACTGAGCTTTCATGAATTGTTCATCGGTTTGGTGGCCATATAATTTGTTCATTTGTGTTAAGTGTTTGAATTGACCCATCTCTTTAATTTCTCCCAATTTGGTGGTGTAATATAAGGTTAAAAAAATTAATTACAAGTACCTAAGATTACTCGTGAGTAGATATGAATTTAAAAAATATGTCGGGAGAGAATATTTAAAGGAAAACAATCTTGAGATACATTTGATTTTATTTTTGATGTATTACTTCTTCCATGATCTTCTTAAGTACTCAAAACTTTGAATTGAATAAGACGTCGAAGTCTCACTGTTTGATTAAATCAAAGTATTTCGAAAAACACTATTATTATGTATATGAATTTATTTTTCAGTCTTTACTTTTTTGACCAAAACAAATGGTCATAGAAAAAAGAAGCCCAAAATCATAATGAGAAATTAGAAATACTTAAATAAAGAAAAACGTTGAAAGAATTGACACCATTAAAAAACTTTAGAATAGAAAATGTTTTGACTAGAGTGAATACCTTGTCTCCTTTTAAGAGTTGATTCCATTTAATGTATTTTTCTTGCTATTTAACTAGACCAAGGGAAGTAATAAAATTATGGGTAAGTTTTGACACTGCAGAGTAATTAATTATAAAATGACATAGGTGAAATGTGTAGATATCATAAGTTTATTTCTAATTTGATGAGAGGCCGAATCAAAATTAATCAAAAATTGTAACGAACTAGTAGTTTTTGGTTAGTTAGAAAGAGGGTTATGGTCCGTAGTGTTAGACAACCCATCACGATCAATTTCTCTCCGAAATTTGCATCTTATTCTACATTTTACAGAAAAGGAGAACTTAAGAAACTAAAGAAAAATCGTGATCTATCTAAACGGGGAAGATCAAATCCCATCAATAGACGTTCAATTATGGATCTAAGTACGCTTGTAGTACTTATATTCTCTTGAATCAACATGAGATATCGATTTGTGGCTTTATATTTTGGGTTTTAATTTTTTCGAGAGAGTTCTTTTACACATATAGATAGTGTGTATAAGTATGAAAAGAGATCAAACTCGAACTCGATATTATCAACTAAACTTTACGAGACGAATGGTTGAAACGGGGAGTGAATCTCAAAAAGTATATATACATGGGATATTGGGGATGGGTAGGTCTCTTTAATAATGCAAAAAGTGAAAGGCTTTCAAATCAATAATGGGCAGAAAAAGGGGAATTGGGCAAGCCATGGCTCATAATGGGAGGACTCTTCCAAGCTTTGAGATGATGGTTTTTTCTTTTCTTTTAGAACTTTTGTTTAAAGATGCATGGTTATGGTCATTGTGATCTCTGCTTTTTGTCCTGCCTTTGAAGGTGTTGCGCATTCCCCAAACTTCCATTACAAAACGCATTTTTTCTAGTGCACAAGTCATCCAAATGACAAAAAGATTGCTCGGTGATAGCTCGCGCACGAAACGATTTTTTCAAAAGTAAACTTTATGCGTCGAGAGAGAATTTTAGATGGACGATTGTTTGAAGGGGGATTTTCTAGTCGTAGGATCGTTAATGATGTAAATATAGTGTCCAACATCATCTTGATGTATTGGAGAAGATCTTTAGTATATAATAATATTTGGGTAAGGTTCGGAAATGAACCTACGTCGGCTCAAATGAACGATTAGAAGATCTGTTGTCTTATAATAGGTTAAATTAATAATAATTTTATGCATTAGACAATATTGTTATGTGATATTTGTTTAGCATGGTATGATGAATAAACTGGGCTAGAATGTTCGAATTAGACAAAATTTAGGTGAGGCAAAACAATATATATGATTCTTGATGGAGGATCGATATTTTAAAAGAAAGACGAAGATATGGATACCAAATTGCAATTTCAATTTATCACCCCCTCTCAATTTTTGTTTTAGGATGATATTATTTAATGAGCAATAGTTCTTTTACAAATTCATGCACCATGCACCTTAGATTATATCTCTTCATTTATTTAAAGTTATAGCTTATAAGTTTCAATATGAATGTTTTTTTTAGTACAATAAATTTATAATCTCAAAAAAAGAAGTAGATGTCAATTACTGTTGAACTATGCTCATTTGAAAAAATTCTAAATCGAAGTCTTCGCAAGGGAGCTGTTTTCATATATATATCTTTACCAAAATTTACGTATAAACGTATCTTAATAACAAAAGTTTAACTGATCCGAACATAACTCAGTGATAGAACAACTACTAGTTTTCCTGGAGTTGAGGATTAAATCTATCACCTCTCATTTGTTGAACTCAAGAAAAAGAAAATTAAAAAATAAAAGTTTCGTTAATACTCTGCTGATCTAAGCATAACTTAAATACTGTCATTTCAAATATCTACCACTAAATGGTAACATTTAAAAAAGGTATAATAACTCTCAGATTAAATTAATAATCTTTGTGTACTCAAAAAAGAAAAAGAATATATATATGATTAATATGAAAATATTTTATTAATGCCATTAATTATCAATCAATCATCGACATTGGGTTCATGGCCCAACCAGGCCCACATGGGCCATCGATGAAAGATTTCAGAACTGGGCAGTTCTTGACGAACCCATCAAGCCCATGTAGGCCCATATGTGAAAGATTTTGAAATGGGTCACATCAATCAAGCCCAAGAGATTCCGGACGAAAAGATATTTTAACCGCATCCAGTTAAAACGTGAGAAAAGATTCGAAGATATCGCCAGAGGAGCATAAAAATCGAATTCATCTCAACCGTCCACGTGTTTAATGGATTTACCAATCACCGCCATCACCAGCGTGGGGGATTTATAATCCAAATTTCATATTTTCGT